GGATCTAGGGTTTAGGGTTGAAGGTGTAGGTTTAAGATCTAGGGTTAGAGTGTTAGAGTTTAGGGTTTGGGGTTTAGGGGTTTAGGATTTAAGGCTTAGGGTTTAGGGTTTAAGGTTGGGGGTTTAGGGGAATTCCAAAAATTGGGGCATCCCTTGAAAGGGTCCGAGGTTTTGGGGGGGCCTCCAAAAATTACGGGCGTTCCTTCAAAAGGGTTAAGGTGTTAGGGGGACTCCCAAAAATCGGTTAAAAGGGTTTAGCGTTTAGGGGTTATAGGAGGTTATATGCGTTATATAGGGATTTACAGGGGGATCATGGGATACATGGGGGCAAATAGGGATACGTAGGGTTTCGGGTTCAGCTACCAGAATGGAGAATCAGGCGGAAGAGAGCATGGCATGGAACATGTAATGGAGACTAGAATTATAGTGGTTTATAGGGATTGATACAGTATGAGGTGGTTCGAGAACTCCTATAGTTCTAAGGGGTTGTAGAAAAAACGAAAACGGACGCTACTGTTTTTAACAGGGTTGAGGGTTTACATATGGAGTGCCTTAGATTTGCAGTAAGGGGGCTATGGGGATTCAAACAAGTACATAGGGATATTTAGGCGTTAGAGTTTCCAAGAGTTAGCGCAGAATCGGAGGGAAAGGAGATGGAACACGAAAGGGGCCCCCTTTGCAAACCCCCCACAGCGAGACCTTGCCCTGAAGGGGCGATCGCGGGACCATGACCACCGAGACAAGAGGCCCAAGATTGAAGAGGCCTTCGGAGAAACTCTTGGGAACTTTTGGGAGTTTTTGACTCTGACTCCCCAGGCTCCGGTGGAGCACATTCCATGTGCAAGACCAAAGGTGCGGGCCAGGAGCAACCAGGACCCATCCTGGGCATGACTGCAAAGATGACCGACATACTTGGACGTGTTATTTCAAGCAGTACCTGTAGCCGGTAAGAGAAGCATGGCGCTGATGGCCATCCAAGCAGCAATACTGGCCATGCTCCTAAACATGATGCAGGCATCATGTGCAGCATGGTGTTGTTCCTGCAATCCTTTAGCTGCGGAGCAACGGACCATGCATCTGTCGCAGAGGAACCCGTGCAGCCAGCTGATTGAAAGGGGATAATCGAAGACACTTGAATTGATGCTATTCTGCGCATGGTTGCATTGTAGAAGCGTCAGAACATGAGCATATCATTGCCGGTGTTGATGACCAAAGTAGCTCTTGCAGCATTGCTGGTGCCGCCAGCCAAATCCCATGGTTGGCACAGTTTGAGATGCCGTCGAGTTCGCATTGTCACCGTAATTGTCACCTCGCGGACAGGACTATCCTTTCACGCATCTGGATGGATTCTCCTGAGCACCGCTGTCTGACAGGCCCGGCAAAGGCTATGACTGCTAATTTGTTCGCAACTGGACCTTCTGCCTCAAGGAAGCTGGGTGGGGGGGAGACCAGGTGTCGAGCAGCAAAGGCACAAGTAGGATAACGCAGAGTTTCGAGTTGGCTAGACCGCCCAAGAAAGCACGACAGCTGCGTGAGTGGAGTGGATTCTTTGGAGATGGGAAGGTTGGGTCTGGGGCTGGAGGGCCTCTTCGCTTCAGCGCGACGGGGAGTTTAGGGTGTTGCGGGTGGGGGGGGGGTGGGACGACCATCCTTTGATCAAAATTCCCTACAGATTCCAGCCGTGGCATAGTAATAATAGCAGTAATAATAGGAAGAATAGTAGAAGTAGTAATAATAGACACAGTAGCAATAGTAATAATGTGTTCAAGCTCACGAGTTTTCTTTGAGTCAGAGTCGCCACCTTGTTCCCAGGGGCCCTGTCCGAGCATCGTTTCATTCAGCAGGCAAGGACTTGTGGGGCCTAAGGCTGGTAGGTAATAATAGTATGGTACTAATAGCAATACTAATGGTAAACATAGTGAGAATAGTAAGAATAGTCATTGTAATAATCGTCACAATAGTCATAATAGTAAGAATCGTCATAATACTAATAATCGTCATAATAGTAATAATGTGACCTGCACGGCTGGTAGGTCAACTTCCTCGTGTAGATGGGCCAAGCAGGCATCCTTTCGTGGGATGGCGAAATGTCAGCTCTCGCAAGTAAGACTTTGCCAGGCCACCTCCACATCTCCTAGCAGCATCAGGACGTCAAGGCACACTGCCCGCAGCTTTATTACTCTTATTACTGATCATTGTCATTGCCATTATTGCTATTCTTACTATTGTTACTGTCATTATGGTTATTACTAGTATTGCTATTATTTTTATTACTACTACTAGTGAAGAGGCTAACCTGCTAAAGCCCTAACTTCAAATTATTTTAAAATTGGGGATACGATTTTGGCGTCTCAGTATTTTTGGCCTATTTGTGGAATCTACCACTTCAGGTCACCAGGTCGTCGAGCTGATGTGCCGCAGCAATGGTGGAAAAGCATGGCTCATGTGAGGCATAGTCTAAACTCCTTCAAGGGGGGTATATAGGGGTTTATAAAGGGAATACTATAGGGGTTGTTAACGGGGATACTAGAGTTTTGAGTATGGCTCATGTTTTGGTGTTTCCAAAATCGGGCTCCCCATTACACGCGCCAAACTCTTGTAATCCTCATTGTTAGGACTCCCAAAAAGCAACCCTTGATTTATGGGAACCCCAATTTTGGAACCGGTCCATCTCTGGACTTAGAATGTGAGGTTCACACGTAAGGCATTCAGTAGGAGCCTGCGGGTGAGACTGGATTGCAGAGGGTTTCTTACAGTGCCTTCCGAAGATAAAATCCTGCGAGACAAATCAAATTGCAATAAATTAGTAGTTTCCATTTTCTTTTCCATTATCCCAATAGAACCCCAATATAACCGCTATAATATACAGTAGTTTCCATTTTCTTTTCCATTATCCCAATATTGTATCTCCGTCATGGCTCAGCTCGTCCCGGTGCCAAAGAGCACGTACCCAACGCATCCCGCCGTTCCTGGCCATGACTCCTGCAAAGAGGGCGAAGAGCAAAGCGCACAAAAGTGGGAGTGAGAGGCCTGCCAAAGCAGCAAGGGTTGCTTCATCAGATTCACAGCTGGTGGCCAGCAATGCCCCTGAAGCCGCACCACGGGAGCCTTCTACTTCCGTATCCATGGAGAGGCGACCCTTCGCGAAACTCTTGCTGGATGCAATAAACGCTGACGAACCCCTGACATTGGAGAGGAGCGATCCGATCATTGATGCTGTGAGGGTTCCGATCAATTCACCCATCGTTGTTGAGGCAAAGCCGGGCTCGCCACTTCCACCCATCCTTGAGTTGCCCGGCATCGTGATAAGCTCTGCTCAGGTGACTTTACGTCATATTTGCCTACATTCCAGAGCAACGGACATTGATCACCCCCTGATTGAAGTACGGACGGGTGGCCGGATTGAGCTGACGGACTGCAGGCTTGAGGGTGCTGGTATTAAGCTACATACTGGTGCTTCTGCACGCCTGGTGCGTACTCGTATCTCTGGCTCGTTGCAAGCAGGCATCTCGGCTGCTGACACACTAGAGGTTTCTTTGGCTGAATGTGACATCTCGAATTGCGATGGCGAAGGCTTGCATGTGACCTCAGGCCAGCAGTTGAGTGTTTCAGATTGTACATTTTCCAACAACTTGAAGAATGGCGCGCTCATCGATGGCAAGGCTGGACAATCAGGTTTTAGTGGTTGTACCTTCTCTGCCAACGGTCAGTTCGGTGTTTGGATAGACTCAGGCAGTTGTGTTTCGTGGAAAAGAAATTTGATTACCGGAAACACGCTGGGCGACATTGGGGGCAGAGGAAGCTTGGATGGGCAGACGAACGCATTTGATGCCGGAGACTCGTGCATGGTCTGGGTTGAAAAAGTTGCTGAGTGGCTGCCCGGGAAGGTCCTGGAAGTGCTTGAGGACGAATTTGTGGTTGTTGCTGAGGTTCCTCTAAAAATGGATATCGCAGAAGCAGGTGTCATGCGTCGCACCCGCCAGAAGGCCCCTGAGCCGAAAAGGGAAGTGAGGAGCTTGGAGATCAAAGTGCCACCAGACGCTGTACGTCTCCCAAAGTCTTCTGAAGAAGCTCCGCCCGCCTGGTCCAAGAAGACCTCTACCTACCGGCGAAGGAAGAGCGCTTTCCTACACTTCCTGCGTGAAGGCGGCAAAGGGGTAGCAGCATGGAAGGCACTTGATGGCAAAGAGCGAGTGCGCTTCCAGACAAAGGCAAGGAAGGAGAATAAAGACAAACCCTTGAATCCTCCTGATAAATTAAGCGTGCAAGGTGCTTCAATTACCCCATCAGGTCCTCATACAGAGGGCCGTGTACAAAGGCCAGCGAGGAAATCTGCATCTGTCTTGTTCCCTCGCACAAAGCACCGAAATTAAGATCTTGTTAATGCTGTCGGCAAGCTGGGAACGCAACGTGCGCCAAAATGAGGTTATGCGACGGATAATTCGAAATTGATAGTCTCTTGAATGACCGCGTGATGATGGTATCGAATATTCCGATATAATTCAAAGAATATATATATACATATATATATATATATTTACTTCAATATTACGGCGCAGCTACTTGCGGTCATTTCGCTCGTGCGCGGCCTAGGATTTCCGGCTCCCCTGGAAAATGCCTCCTGCGGACTCCTAGGGACTATAAAATATCGGAAATTTTGAAGCCTTTCGGAAAAGCTCGAGGCCATAAAATCTACGAGATTTTTGGCACGGGCGGCGCGACCAGAAATCTCGAAGATTGCTTGGAGATTTTCTATCGATTTATTGGAAACAGGCAAGCTCATCCCATCTTTTTTAAGTGCGGACGTATTATCGCCCATATACAAAAAATATAAAGGATTTAAAAAATGCCAGAAAAGAAAAAACATAATTTGGGAGAAACTTTAATTTTCAAATTACGATATATGATTCCCTATGAGTTAAGAAATATCATATGAATTTAATTGTATATAAGAATACTATATATTTATATAATGAATTTAATATATTCTATGTCTTTATTAGTAAATGAATATTACTGGGAGATCAGGTTATTTCTCATCGGATTAATTTGCTTGCGTATTGAATAACGCCTATATTGGGGGATTTAGTTCAAAAGCATGCGCTTGATTAGATATTATACAAGAATAATTTTATAATCGTTCTATTTCCGCAGCGTCTATAGGGTTTGAGCTCATGATACGGCATATTTATATGGGGTCGTTATGTCTATTGCGTAATAGCTAGCTACGCTGGGAAATTAGGAAATTATAGGGGTTCTATAATATCTATAGGATTTCTATACGAACTGATTACAAATAATCTCTCATCAATCCATATTGGGGCATGGGCAAAACTAGCGTCTGCATGGGGTATCTTACGAAATTTAAATTTCGAATCTTATGATTTTCTTATAAAATCCTAGCGTCTATAGCAAAACGAGAAATCTATATTTATCTTGATTTGCCCTGGCATGGGGATCACTATTTTCTTTTCTGATATATAAATATCCCGCTGATACGAAATCTTCCCAATAGCAGCGTCCACAATGGATGAGGTCTATTCTCTTCGAATGATGAATATTTCTCTCCCGGCATTTACACGATCTATTAAATGGATTGCATACGGCATGATATAGCTATCTGATTAGGGTTCATCTACGGATGATTGAGAATATAGAATGAATAATATATATTTCTTAATCTATATATGAATATATCAATATATTAGATATGGTCATTGATCAAATATTATCATTCATCCATATGATTATTAATATAGGATCGATCGCCTGCAGGGCATATTGGACTGATTATCAATAAGTTGGTTAGATTATATATATCTTGATATTTTTATATAATAGATAATAATCGTTATTTTCTTATTATAAGTCGTATAAAATCATTTGAAATATATTTTCGATTATAACATATAGTACCTATAATATCTTATATTTTCTATATCTATATAGGCGATTGAATTCTGCCAGAACGGAAATGATTAATGATAAATTAAAACGAAAAGTATCCCAATATCATAATGGAATTAGAATCATATATATAATCTAAAGAGAAATATCTAAATTTATCTATCTATTCAAATCGGACCGTCATCTCTTCATATTAAATTTTTATTTCAATATCAAACCGATTATTATATAAAAAATAGAGATTCGAATTTATATATATTGGTAAATTCGCGATTTCGAAATTCATAAGAAAAATATTGAATTTATAATAATATAATCATAATTTCAAAATCAATATATTTCATCTCAAGAAATTCGCATCTAATAAAATCTTCCAAATCATGAGAATTTAATATTTTCGTCGAATTTCAACGAATATAATAAAAAATGAATGATTCCGTGCACGCTTTCGAATCGAAATTCTCAAGATTTTCAGAATTTCTTCCAGAATAGAAGAATAGATAATCAAAGAAAGAAAATCACTTCTATAATATCCACGCGCATCATATATATCCATAATTATCTTATATGAATCATCTCAATCTATTTGGCAAATATGATTTGAATTCCAGGGCAGGGCCTTTATATATAAGATAGATATCCTTTAGATAATCTATACAATGATCGGCGAATATATTCCATTTCCAGTATGTAGCAGATAGTAGTAGAAATATCGTATTATGTATTCATATACGTAGGAAATAAGATTTATTATCGGCTGGAAGCTGCTGAATACCTGATATAGCAATCAAAAATATAATGGCATATAATGCAGGAATTATATATGATTTATTGCAAATAAGAAAGGAGCCTTCCCTATCAAGATATAAATGCTCATATCCTTATATATCCATGAATGAGCGTATATTTTGCAATAATTTGATAAAATTTTCAAGAGCTAGATATTTAGACGTAATATCTAGATATATCAGGGGAATGGGGTATATATGCAGCGCTGAATAATTATCAGGAATAAATCAAATCCATTCCTCCAGAGAAATGAGGATAGATCCTATTCGATATTCTAATAATTCCCAAGATATTCATCCTCGCTAATCCGAATATCTAATAATAGTAAAATCCCTTAATATTTTAAAATCCCTTAATATTTATGAGATGGCTCATATTTATTGCGATAAACTATATTAATAAATCAACTACGTAATGAATATAAGGTTCCCCCATATATATATATTGGCAGCTGCCGATTATGACCAGCAAATATGAAGGAAATATTAGCTGAAATGAAATATAAGATTCAGACTCCTATTTAGATCATATTCAAATCCTTTATACGCATATTCTAATTTTGATAGAACGGCTTGAAATTATTCTCTATTTCTCATATAAGATATGAAGATAATATTCAACACGCAATTCATAAGGAAATTAGATATAGAATATAGGGCACGTATAGACCTCCATAATTAGAATTATCTAATGGAATTTAAGATAGATATTAATGAAAATGCAAGTATCAAATCCTTAAATTCATAAATAATTTATATAGATTGGATCGATTTAGTTGCAATGCTTTAAAATATATGATTCAGAAGCATTCTTTATAGAATTTGGAAATCATATGATAATCAATTAAATATTTTAATAAATATTATCAAAATCAATTCTATTTTATATAGAAATTAGATGAGATGAATCTAATCTTGAGATTAGAGCGTTGAATATATAATATAGGATCTCATAAAATAAGAATATTGAGAGATCTATTTATTATATCTTGGGATCCAAAATATATTTAAGCTGGGGAAATAGGGGGGGGGGGAGGCGGAGAAGAAAGAAATCAAAGAGAATAGAGGAGGGGAGGAAAGAGATGGAATAAATTATATCTGATTCCTTCTCATCCTCTATTTCTTTTTTTTTCTCTGTCTCTCCTCCCTCCTATCTCCCGACCCTCTGGTCTTTTATTCCATCGTCTTCAGAATCATTTCCTTCAATCCTAATCTCAAATATTAGATATACGAAAATAATATCTATCAAGATTCCATTATATATTATATCCAATTTAATATTATATTTTATATAATATGATATATATATAGATATATATAATCTATAATATATAATATATATCAAATGAAGGATATCTCATTTTATCAAAATAATTCAATCCAGGAATGCTATAAATATGAGGCCCGTAATATATGATTTTCTCTAGATATACTATTTAATGAATTGATATTTTCCTAGAAATATCTGGATCCTGGTCTTACTATATTCAATCTGCTATCGCGCCGTGCCCATAATAAGCTGATTCTATATTGCTCATTCTTGGATAAGGCGACGACTAATAATATAATTGAATATTTCATCATTTATCCTTGGCGTCGCAAATATATAATTATTGATTATTATGTCTGGGATATTCTACTGGAATATATAGAAGCGATCGAGTGATATAAATTGCCGCCATATCAGGTTGGCAGGGAATGACGAATGGGGGCGATGACATTGGGGACGGACGACAATCAGTGGCGGTGCCGGAAGGCGGCGCTGGCGATAATAAATAATTGGGATGATAATGGCGGACGGTAGCGGCGGCGGCAGCTGGGCCTAGCGGCAACGATGGGAATAGCGGTAGCGGTAGTGGGAAGAGATGGGGCGGCAGCGGTCGGAGGCGATAACGGCGGAGGCCGCTGGCGGACAACGTGGCGGCGGCGGTAGGGGACGGGGGCAATCGTGCCTAGTGCTGGCAGCGACGGAAGCGCCAATAACGAAATATATCGGTCGATATTAGTTATATAATCAGATTCCTAATATCCGTCGATAGAATTTGCGGATCCTCTTTAATATATTCATAATAAGATCGATCTTTATATTTAAAATTCTAAATGCAGATTATGAATAATTTTTTATTTTTCTTTGGCAATATTGATTTATATTTCAAAAAAATGATATTTTTCATTAATTTAGATTTTCTATTATATAATTTCTGAAAGAGAGAATCAAAAAATCCGCAAGATTTAGAAATTTCAAAAATGATCATAAATTTATAAATAGAAAAACAAGAAATTTTTGATTTTATTTTTCTTCTTTCTCTATCTATCATAGAAAAATGAATAAATTCTATATTTTCATTCTTTAAAGATTCTTCAATTCTTAATATGAAATGAATCGATTCTATCAATCCTTTTATATATCGATCTTCTTTTTTATTGATTAATTAATATGATAATTTCGTAATCTATCGATTTAGGAATCTATTAATCAAATTTTCAATCTATCATTTTTCCTAATCATATTCTATCGAATCTAATATTTCTCATAAATAATAATTCGAGAGTCTCTGAAATCTATCTATTTATTCGAGAATCATTTTTCAATTTGTTCATATATCTTCAAATAATCAAGATCAAATAATCTAGCAATGATATTAGTAGCAGAAAAATAGATTAGAAATTAAGAATAAAATGATATCATCATATAACGATAGATTCATTCATTAGACCTAGAGAAATATTATTCTCTATTGACATCAATATCTATTATCTATTATATCTATAGATTAATCATCTTAAATTCCTATATATCATAAAATATCTATTCAAATAATAATTTTATTTTCAAAGAAAATATAGAATTATATATCTTTTTGAGAATCTTTTTATATATTGAATTAATTTCTCGAAAGAATTAGATAAAATTTATATTAGATTTCATAGATCTTAATTTCTTTTATTTTTATTTTTACGATAGCTTCCATATTATATAGAAATATAATGAAATATAAATATCAAGATACCAAGAATAGATTAATCAGAAAATATCTCTGCCTCTTAATAGAAATCTTTAAATTTATATCGAAATATATTTTCATTTATCCAATATCAGATTTAGATATAGAATTTATTGACGCTGCTAATCATATCAAGAATAAAATGTAATAGAATCTCATCCTTCGATATCCTAGATCAAGAAATCTATGAAAAGATTAATCATAATATGAATATGATATATATATCTTATATTCGAAAAGTATAAAGCATTTCATTTCCAATATGAAAAATTTTGAAGCTTAATTTTTCCACATCAAAAGAAATATATATATCATATGAATTATCAGATATAAATATTTCAAGAATCCCAGAGAAATTAGAATCAGATTTCTCATTGATAATCTAAAAATAGATTAAAAAGAGAATTCCTCCAAGAGAGAACATATTAGCCGCGAACGAATTCCTCTCGATATCATCTCCTACTAAATCTATTACCTATTGAATTTATATAGATTTTTTTCTCATAGAATCATTATCTTAAGCAATTAAGAATTCATCGATCAATTTCCGATAATTATAATTCAGAATGAGATATTAATATCTTTGAAAAAGAATTTTTTTATATTTATATCAAGAAGATTAAGATATTAAGAATTAAGATAAAAATATCGAAAATATCTATTAAGAATAATTTCTATTTATCATTTCATTTTCTTTCTATTAATTCGAGAAGAAGAATATATTCAATCTATCCTCAAGATTAAAAATCATATTTACAAGATCCTATATAACAACTAAGGAAAAAATCTCTATATATATTCCTTTTCGCAAGATATACGTATATTTCAATATATCATAATATCAAGATTTAATGAGAATTATCAAAGAAAATATACCATTTCTTTCGTATACGATAAATGAAGCTTTGTTTTTAAAATTTCTATTTGATATCATAATGCATAATTTCAGAGAGAATTAGACGTATTTCAAATTCTATCATGAGAATTCCATTCTATTGATTAATAATCATTGCCTGCAATAACGGAAATCATTTATATGAGAAACCCATACCGAGAAATCCGATGACCAAATAATATATCAGATCGCACGTGCAGCCCGATGAATTATCAAGATTTTAACACCGCCTGTAACATATAAACTCTGAAAGATTTTAGATCTCCGCCCCGGGTCTTCGCGTTCCACCAAGCCGCCGCGCAAACAGCCAAAGAGAGAGAAATAGCTCCCCCGCATCCAGCCCGGTCTTTCCGCCTCATTTATCTCTTTCGGGCTATCTGCGCGGCAGCTCGGGGGAGCGCACAAATCACCGTGGACAGATACGGCCAACCTATAAATTCTGAAAGATTTTGGCTTTCCCGAGTCTACGTGCTCCTCCGAGCAGCCGCGCCGACAACCAAAGAGAGATAAATCACACGGAATATATAAAAGCGCACGTGAATCCCGACCAACAATCAATATATAAGAAGACGTTACGTGACCGAAAACGGCCAACCGATTAGATTCTGCAAGATTTTGGATCTCCGCCCCGGCTCTAGACCGAGCCGCCGCGCAGACGGCCGAAGAGAGAGAAGTATTTATTTCGAAATCTCGAGAGATTTCGGGTCGTGCGGCCCCGGCATCCAGCCCAGTCTCCGCCTCATTTGTCTCTTTTGGGCTATCTGCGCGGCGGCTTGGGGGAGCGCATAAATCCCCGTAGACAGACACGGCCAACCTATAAATTCTAAAAGATTTTGATTCTCCTTCCCGGGTCTATGCGTTCCGCCGAGCAGCCGTGCAGACAGCTAAAGAGAGATAAATCACGCGGGAAACCGCTCCGCAGCCAAGGGCCGCGCGACCAAAAATCTCCGAGATTTTTGATCGCGCTGCCGGCACCAAAACATCTCGAGATTTTAGAGCCTCTAGCTTTTCCGAAGGGCTCTAAAATCTCCGAGATTTTAGAGCCCCTAGAGAGCCCGCAGGAGACATTTCAGCCAAATGACCGCAAGTTGCCGCGCCGTAATTGGGGTATTTATAATCTATCCTAATCTATAGGGAAAATTGCCATTGTGACTCCTGGCCTCTGCTGTTGACGAAACGAAGAACAATCCCAAAGCCAGCTGCGTTCCGGTTTTATCATGCTTCAAGACTTCTGTGCGCCGCGGAGCAAACCTTAACCTTGGATGCTTCACTCTTGCAAGATTTCCTCAAAACAAGCGCATAATACCTAACTTCTCAGCAGACCTTGCAATGCGACCACGGCTCGTCAGACTCTCCTCTGCTGGCTTTGCTTTTTGGGGCCGTGACCTGGTCTTCATCGCCGCTGGCGTCATAGGCACCGGAGGCTTGTCAGTTGCTGCTGCAGCCCTGGGCTTCGCAAGTTCAGCGGGCGTCTGTGGAGCAGCGCGCCTTGCAGTTCCAGTTTTAGCTAGTGCAGCTGGCGTCCGCGGGGCTGCTCTCTGCGGTGGGGACTGCTTCAAGGCAGCCGGTGTCTGCGGTGCGCGTCTGGCTTGCTTGCTCGGGGGTGCTGTGCTCCTGCCACTGATGGCTGGCGGCGTCTTTGGCGCCACTGCGGGTTGTGCAGCTGTTTGAAAGTATGGTGTGTTGGGCACCACCAGGTCAGCATCCACCGAACTAACATCTTCATGCGGTCTTGACGATGCAGGCACTTTTGCAGCTAGTGACATCTTTGGCGTTGGCTTGGAAAAGCCGGCTGCTCGGATCCTTAGCTAAGTCATCTGGCCAGTGCATCCACAGAAGCTTCAAGTAGAACCCAACTACACACATCAGCTCAATATTGTCGCAAGCTGTTCCAAGTCACGGCTGGTTGCTTGCAGCTACTGCCTGAGCTTCGGTTAAGGCAATAGGTGGCGAACGTGAAGCTGCTGGCGTTTGCGGCTCTTGCAGTGGCTTCCAGGATGCCGGGGCTGCTGGTGTTCGTGGCGGTGCAGGGGAACTTGAAGCGGTGCGGCATGGGAATGGAGTTTGTGGTCCAGGAATCACGTTGCTTGCTGCCAGGGGTGAACGGGAGTGTGCCAGCGGCACCGCTGGTGTCTTCGGCGGAGCCACCCCCGCGCGAGCGTGGTGGGGCATAGCAGGGGTCTGTGGGGGAGCCACGGAACTTCCAGGGATTGCAGACAATGGCACCGCAGGTGTTCTTGGGGGAGGCACGGACTCTGCAGGTCGAGTATTTGTAAGAGGCACTGCCGGAGTTTTTGGTGGAGGAACGGATTCGGCACGGGACGGAAAAGGTAATGCAGGCGTCTGTGGTGGAGGCACAGACGCAGCTTGAGCGTGTGATGCAGGTACTGCTGGTGTCCTTGGCGGAGGCACGGAGTCTGCACGGGAGTAGGCCGAAGGCATCGCTGGGGTCTTCGGGGGAGCCACGGATTCAGGGCTTCTTCCATACTCTTCCCTTGCAACACTTGGCGCAGGTGTGCTTGGAGCAGGCAGGCGCTCAGAAGGCATTGCCGGAGTTCTTGGTGGCGCAATGGTTTCGACCTGGCCTGCTGTATGGGGCAGGGCAGCTGTCTGTGGCTGAGCCAGAAGTGCCTGTTCTGCTGCTGGCACAGCTGGTGTTATCGGTGGGGCAACACGTGCTTGAGCGCTGGCCTTATTGAGAGGTGCTGAGATGGGCAGTTCGGGCGTGCTTCCGGAACTGACAACTGCAGCGCTGGCAGGCGGCGGTGCACCACGCGGTCTTGATGCTTGTTTTGTTTTGGGCTCTTCAGTCTTTCCGGTGGGAGCCTTCTTTGGTAGGCTGTTGATGGGTGCTGGCGTGCATGGTTGGGCCAAGGCAACCTGCGCAGCCATTGGCAGATCTTCGGAGGTCGAAGGAGGAATGGAAGATGCGAGATTTGCTTCTCGATCGTCGCCAGCAGTGCGTGACCTTGCTTCTATGCAGTGGCAGCATGCTTTCTGTGCCAAGGCCGTGACATTGCTATCTGTCCCGTTCACAATGCGGTCCAGTCACAGGGCCAGTATTGGCAATTCCCCATCTCCAAAACAGATTTTGCCTCAAGCCGCAATGACCATAAGAAAGCGAACAGCCAAGTCATAAGTGCTTGCTTGGAATGGTCCAAGACATCAACCCCCCATCTTGACTTTCAGGAGCAGTTTGCAATGAGAACGGTACAGCGAATGCTTGCAAGTACAGCTGGCAATCTACTCCTGAAGGTTTGAGGTAAGAGCAGTCAGACAAAGGAAAGGACATACCTAGTGGGCCAATGGGGCAAGGAGGGCCTTGTCCGACCTACTTTGAGGGGTTAGGACCCGCAGGTTCTGATGCTGGAATGAAAATGGTTTGTTTGGCTTGCGAAGTCGGTGCAGCCCCCTAGAGCCATACCTGCATTTTGATCCCTCTTCGTGACATTTTAAGCCTGCAAGCTACCCGGGGATTGCTGCAGGCCTGCAGAATTCATTTCTCGAAGCACTGACGGCATGTGCAGCAACTCTTCTCACCCTCATTTCCAGTTTCAATTAAAGGACCGGATAACCCGACATATGTTGTAGGATTTGCATGCTCTTAGTCGCTGACAAACGACAAATGTAGAAACACGAGAAGAAGAATAAAGGAAGGACAACAAAAGAAAGGAATCTATGAGATTTTGCAACAACCGGAATTCCACCCACACGATATTTGAGGTTTTAGAGCAGCCAGAACTCCAGCGACACGATATTTGCGAAGTTTACGAGCAGCTTGAATTCCAGCCCCACGATCTTTGTGAAGTTTTCGAGCAGCTGGAATTCCATCCCCCTGAAATTTGTGATGTTGTCGAGGCCCCGGAATTCCACTTTTTGCGAGGGTTTTAAGCCGAGGTTTGCGGCTCCCCGGAATTCCACGCACGCCTGTGAAACGTCATTTCCAGTACTGAAGTTGTACCACAGCGTGGACTGCCTCCACTCCGAAGGTCTAGCCTTCCCTCCCCTCCTTCCGTCCTTTACTGGAAGGCTGTTGTGAGAGCCCTGGAAGTTGGAAGGGTTCGTGCTGGACCTCTGACAGGGCCAACCCAGCTTCGTCATCACCTTGGAAATCAATGCGTCTTCTTTCCTGATAAATGGTTTTGGAATCTACTACGGCACGTCGAAACATGGCACCAAGAATTGCAACATGGTAGGGGTTCCGTGTTTACAGCGTTGCCCGCCGCTGCTGCGTCCTGCGCAGTCTGCACACAGCACTCCGCGCTATCGCTGCGCCCTTGCAAAGAATGCGGTAAGCCAGCTTGCTGGCAGGCTTCCTGCAGCTTGCCCTGCCTCCTGCGAACCTGGCAGTGTAGGCAGATCTGTAGTAATTGGATTTTGAATGCCACCTTCTCAGGACAAATAGATGGTTCCGATGTACTCGTAGCATCCAACGAAACCCGCATCTATACAAGCCAGGGAAAAACCAAGCGGGAGAAAAATATGGCTGCTCATGTGGAGGCGTCTTATACATGATGAGATATTGGAGGTTGAGTACGAAGAGTTGTCCAAAGGATTTTGCCCGAGCATCTCGCAACTCTCCTAAGTAGCTTTGAATGGCTTTGAACTTGTGTTGGGAGAGGAATGCGTTCGTTTTCTCCCTCCCGGATTTGTACACCTGTTGCAGACGTGCTCCCATCCGACTTGTTACAGCTCCGCACACAGCTGTCCCCCAGTAATTCATAGCAGCTGCCGACTTTCATCAAGACGATTTGCTGGACCAGGCATTTTTTCTCAAGTAAATAACCCCCAATATAACCTAGTAGTTTCCATTTTTCCATAATCCGAATATAACTAGTAGTTTCCATTTTCATTCTCCCAATACAACCCAAGGGCAATCCCAAGCTTGGCATGGCCTTTGTTCTTGCCCTTGCCGCTAGCACCTTTGCTGCTGGCACCTTTTCCACCGGCATCTTTGCGACTTCCACTTTTGCCATCAGTACCGGCAGGACGCGCAGATGCATCGTCCTGGCAACAGTTTAGCTGTTTGGTAGCAACTACAGAACTATGGTGCGCATGTTGCACTTGCATGCGGTCCTGCTCCTTCTTGTCCTCACTTGATTCCCGCAGTTTCTCCTCTGAATGCAACGTACGGACGGGCTCTCAGAAAAGTATGTCACCCCTGGAAATTTCCACGATTTTGAGCAGGGTCCTGATCATCCTTCGCACCTTCTCCTTTGCCTTTTGTAGATTTTCCCTTCTGTTTGCCACGTCCCTTGCCATCTTTGCCTTTTTGCTGGCCCTGGCTGCACAGAGGAGGCCAAAGCATTGCAGCGAGCATTGCAGAGCTCTTCACAGATGGCCTCCGTGATGTTCTCGAAAAATACCTGGGCACGTTGCCGCGCCCGGACAGATGTGCAGCTTGACTCTCAATCTCATGACTTGCCCTGCAAGTTGCGGCGCCTTGCTTTCTTCCTTCAACTCCAACTTTTCCTTCGCCTCGGCCTGCCCGAACTGTCCGATGGAAACGAGCCGCATCCTGTGCACTTGCCTCGATGCACTCCTCCAGGGACCAATCCTTCTCCTGTTTTTTCATGCATGCAATGGAACCAGTTCGCAATGACTATGTTGCTTGCACTCTGTCCTTGTAGAATTTGGCCTTGTCGATAAAGACACTTGCTTCTGCCAGAAGCGTTGTTACAAGACCTCCAGCGAGACTGCACAGCACGATTGAAGGCGCCATCTATGGGCTAAACTTCGGGAAAGCTGCGCGGACGGTCGGCCAATGCGCTTCCAGCAAAGACCAAGCGCCTCGTGGGACCACCTCACGTTTACGCATGAGGCCATGCCGCAGCATGCAGCGCACAAACTACACCTTCAAAAGTCGCCTTGCCTGCATCTTCGTGTTCCATGTCAAAGAAGGCCTCAGTGATGCAGGAAGGACTCGAAAGAGAAGCTCGCTGGCTTGCTTGGACGCAGAGACGCACGCACCGCTGAGCTTTCCAAGGTCACCAGACTGAACAGCACCACAGCCGCCACAGCAAGGGCCCTTCAAAAGTTGGGCGTATGTAGTCTCTTCGCCCATGTAGTGCAATTGGAGCTATTACAGTTCTGAGTTCCACTAGCGCTGTGGCGCCTCAATCTTGTACACTTACCTGAAAAAAGGCACGGATGCATCTGAGCGTCTATGGCGCTGCTGTCCACTGCCAGTGTCGCCAACTTGCGTTGAAGCCATGGCAACTCGGCAATGACTGGAGGCACCTTCACCAGTGCTAAGGCATGCATGCTCGCTTGCTTCAACGGCGCCATGCACGCGGCAGCTCTGTGATGTAGCCCGCCTTTGTCTTGAGCGCCACATCATTTCTTTTTCCCAGACCACGGATGCGGGAGTTCAAGGAAGCATTCACCTAAGTGAGAATCAGAGCGCTCCTGCCTTGACTCTTGATCTCGGTGGAAATAAGTCGGAATGAGAGGGATGAATTGTGTCATTGGACTTGGGGCACTACCTCGCGAATGCTTCGTAATGAATCAAAGTCCCCAAAGGGGAAGTCTGCTTATGAACCCAGAGCCCTGGCCACTAATGCTGGGTGCAGCAACGCCTTCATCTCGAAAGACCCACAAATCCTGTTTTTCCCCAATATTACCTCAAGATAACCCCTAATCTAACCCCTGATATGACCGCCAATATAACCCCAAAATAACCCCAGTATGACCCCCTGTATCCCCAATATAAGCCTGTGCTCGGAAGTTGTTTGCCGGTGAGTCTCTCCAGAGCGTGAGTTATCTAGGCCCGGTCCGCAGGACGCACAATCTTTCAACTGATGGCCAAAAAAACCCTTTGGCCGAAGTGGAGGAGCATTTGAGCTCCTAGTATCCCCCTAGTAATGGAGAATCAAATGGAAAAGAAAATGGCAAATGAAATGGAAACTGCTATATATAAGGTTATGTAAGGGATTGTAGGGGATATAGTCTAAAGTCCTAGTATCCCCCTCAATTACCACCATGATCCCCTACATAATTGCATATATTAAGCCTTTAAGGAGTTTAGACTATAGCTCATTGGAAGTACGGCTCTTTTTCCAGCCTCGAAGCCTGATTTGCAAACTCAAACCCTGCTTTAAACCCGGGGTCTCACCAAGCCCTGAGCTGTGCAAATAGGGTTCACTACATATATATATGTGTGTATATGTGTGCATAAATATATATATAATACTGGCCTGATATAGGGATAATGGAAAAGAAAATGGAAACTACTATTTAGGGTTTGGTGCTTAGGGTACTAGAAGGGGGTTATATAGGGATACTGGAAAGAAAATGGAAGCTGCTATTTAAGGTTTAGGGTTAGTAGGGAATAAGGGGAATGTAATGGAAAAGAAGATCCAAACTACTACATCATAATAGGGTGAGCCTAAAAAATTGTGAGGGAATTTGCGGGAGGTTCTGGCCCTGAACCCTAAACCCTTTGCTCATTCAGTCTTTCGAGATGCCATCAGGGTTGTAGCTACTGTACATGCTTCGGCCTGGCCCCTGATATGAGCTACAGTCAAGATTTGCCACGTAATGGACTGACATGGGCTCCTACTAGGAAATTTTGCTAGGAAAATACTAAACTACCAACGCGACCGGTATGTCCGCCCTTACTGCTCCCCTGGTAATCCTAATGTCGACACTAGCGCGTATACAGACCACAGCAGTTGGTGCTCCAGCCGCCCAATAGATGGCTACAACGGCTGAAGCAGCAATCAAGTCGAAGTTCAAACCAGCAATGCTTTCACTCGTTAGGGTGTGGGACATGGCGCAGAAACATCCGCAGTCTGAAAGGGCATAAAGAGAGCTTTGTGTCACAACTGCGCAGTTGACAATGCAGACGGTGCTAGCCGCTCCAAACTTCAAGCACGCACTGACCGCAACGGCAGCAGTTGCCGCTGATGTTACCCTTGCCCTTAGGGTGAGGGTGGTGGCAGCTGAGGAATTCTCCACTCCAAACTCTGACCAGAGAACCGATGCTTGGATCATCTGATTACAGATCAGTACAACAAGTAAACTTAATGAGGATTGAAAACAATGACAGACTTTGGGGTTACATTGGGTTATCCTTCTCCTCTAATGGAGAATCAAATGGAAAAGAACATGGAAAGTGAAATGGAAACTGGGGAAATATTGGGGTTATAGTGGGATAGAAACCATCTCTGGGAGAGGGAAAAATTAAGGCTTATTCAGTGGAAAAGGTTCGCGACAGCAAGCATGCCCCTACATCCCAAACCCTTAAACCCTACACCCTGCGAGCCGAGCGGCCCAAGAAAGGTACTCCCTACAGCGATCGCGCTGTTTCTTGCCGCCAGCGAAGAAGGCGCAGCTGGCTGCAATCTCAACACAACAACCAGCAGCTCCAGCCAGCCTCCAAAGTCATGCCACAATATACATCTATAGTAACTACAGTAGCTATAGTAATTCTAGTACTTAAAAAATAGTAATTACAATGGACAAATAGAAAAGTTGCGAGCGGTTGCAACTTGAGCTTGGCCACTGCTTGGCGATCTGCATGCTTTCTTCCTCGAGTCTGTGCAATTCAGAGGAAGCCCAATCGCGCACAAAGCTGCAGCTAATATCAAGTGGGCCGCTGTTTGGTTCATCTTTTCCCTCGTGGTCCGTGCTGCAGCCTATTACTCATATTACTGCTATTACTATCATTATTCTTATTACTATTCTCATTTTTACCGCATAATTGCTACATGATTATCATTATCATTATTATTACTGCATGCTCATCACGACCTGACTGCAGCAGAGTTTCCATTTGCTCCAGCTCCGCTTCAAGCGATATCTGCTCCACCCCAAGGCCCGCGTCCACCTAAACAAAAGTGCAACAAACCCTCAACCCTGAATATCAACCGCTTCTGGACAGACCTCCATTGTCGAATCTTGCTCGTCCGCAAGGCGCACCTAGCTGCTGGAATGTAATGAAGCAATTGAACGACTTGCACTTGGGAAATGCGTTTTGGAAGACAAGTCCTTCTCTGCATAGCCAGGATTGTGCTTCTCCACCAAGGCTCTAATTCGCAACTCTGCGACTGCTCTGGCGAGAGGCTCCCCCAGAACAGCAAGTTCACAGGTGTTTTCTTCACCCTCCTCTTCCATTAATGTGTCCAACAAGTCATTGTTCCTGTCAGTTTTCGCGTCTCGGAGAGGCAGAATGACCGTACTTGTGGACCGCATCATCTGCATCATTGCCTGGGTTGCTGTTACGGAACGGAACTTAATCTAGGTTACTATATTGGGGAAACCCTCTTACTTACCATATATTACTTACTATATATACCCATTATGGAAACTTAATTTAAAGTCATAATTTGTCATAATCCCAGTTTCCATGTCATTTTCCATTTTCTTTTACATTTGATTCTCTATTCTACCCCTTAACAGGGGGACCCCTAAACCCTAAACCACAGCAACCCAGTTGCTGCCATATTTTTCCCAACTATGACTGACAGCAAGTCCTTTGGAATCCTGACCCTTCGTGCATCTCCCAGCAAGGGCCGAGGCAAAGCCGGATGCCTCTTTTCCTTAGGGTTTAGGGCTTAGGGATTTAGGGCTTAGGGTATAGGGTTTAGGGTTTTGGGCTAAGGATTTAGGATTTAGGGGACTTCATCTAAGTTACCATAATAGGTGTATATAGGGTATATAAGGTAGATAAGGTTTAGTAACTTACACTTTGTTACCATAATGGGAATACGTATAGTAAACACTAGGGTTTCCCCATTAACTTAAATTAACTTCCTTAACAACTACCCAGTTTCATGCATGCCAGCAGCTAGGGTTTTCACAATCTGCAGTCCCTTCCATCGCTCTTCCAAAGTGCCAGCCACAAGAACATACGGAACGGACTTGGGCTTGGATGATGCCGACTTCTCCTGGGTTGCTGTTACGGAGCTTAAGCTAAGTCACCATAATGGATATATATATATAGGGTACATCAGGCATATAGGGTTTAGGGTTTAGGAACTTAAGCTAAGCTACTAGAATGGGTATATATATATAGAAAATAGCAGAGTTTCCCCAATATAGTAACTTAACTTAAGTTCTTTAACAGCAGCGCAGTCTCCGTTGTAGGGCCCCTGAAGAACATGATGCTGCATCCCGTGGCGTGCTTCAGATTGGAGAGGTAGGGGCTCCTGGGTTACCCAGTAACCCCTTAAGAGTTTAGGGGGTTTAGGGTTTAAGAACAAGGGCATCCTGTTTCCCAATATTCAGCTTTAATAAGGAGACCCCAAAATAAAAAAGGGAAAAAGGGCATAGTCCCCCTTAAGTAGATAGAATATGGCTTTGGGTATATTTCAATGAGATCCCCATATACCCCGTATTCTATCTACTTAAGGGGACTATACATATGTTTGGGACTTAAACCTATAATCCCTATATAACCCATTATCGTAGTTTCCATTTTCTTTTCCTTTGTCCCATTATAGCCCCAATATTACCCGAATATTATCCTAACCCAAAACCCTAAATACCCCAATACCTAGGCTCTTGTTCAGGCGCCACATGACATCTGGACGCACGGAAAGCTCCTCAGCGATCACTCCGACTAGCCTGGGTTGCTGTTAAGAAGCTTAGTTCAAGTTACTATATTGGGATAGTTACATTATACCCCTATTATGGAGAATCAAAATGGAAAGTAACATGGAAAATGACATGGAAACTGGGGGAATATAGGGATTTAAGGAATTTAAGCTAAGTTGCTATGTTGGGGAAACCCTATTATTTACTATATCTACCCATGATGGTGACTTAATTCAAGTTCCTTAACAGCAACACAGTCGCCGACCTTGCAGGTAAGGGTTGTCGTGCAAATTGGCGAGTGTTCCAGCAGACACCTCTTCGAAAGCGGCTGCCACGCGTAACGCGGCCGCCAGGCGGTTTGCAGCCTTGCCAAAAACTGCAATGGATCTCGCCCTGCGAGTTCGACGCACAGGAACCACTTCCTCACGCAGGTCAGAAAGATTACGTGCCATCACGCACTGAGAACCTGGAAGTTTGACGACAGTCGCCATTCTCCAGTGGCCATGCTGACCACGAGCTTCAATGCTATCCCCGACCTGCATGTCACTTGCATCCTTCTGCCGCTCGACTACGATTAACACCCCTTCAGAAAGCTCAATTTCTGCTTCTTCCTTCTGCGAAAATGTTTGCGCAAAGTCTTCAGACACGTATAGGCGTACCATGTTGCAGCAATCATAGTCCGCTGATACTGAAGCTCGGACAACGATGTCAGCATACATCTTCACTGCATCCAGCACGGCAGGACCTCCACTGATGTACAGGCGGTTGTCTTTCAAAGTCAGCTGCGAGGCCCCTGTGATCTTCATGATGGGCCCAGTCTTTTTGCTGAGTACTTTGGACAGGCTCTCGTCTTTCAGCATGAGATCGCCTCTGCTGTTTTGCGTGAATAGTTCGGCTGGCAGCGTTCGGTCGGATTTGGATGCAACGTCTGGATTGCCGGCTTCATCCCAGAAATTCGCTTCAACTCGACATCGCTTGGTATCCCGCAAACCGTCCGGTGACGACGGTTCGCCCGGTTCCTGGGAAGTCTTTCTCTTGTCACGGGGCTCGAGCATGGGGCGGCAGCCTTCCTATGCTGGAAGTTGTCTCCTCAAGCAGCGGGGCAAATGCTGTGAGGACAACCACAGCTCAATTGCACACGTGGTTGCCATTTGTCCACTGCGGACAGGAAACTTCTGCAAACAAATGAGTAGTGTTTTTTGGTGGTTGAACCTAGTGAGATAATCTTCCTTACATAAAATACTATACCCCAAAAGGAGGATATAATCTCACTCTATATTGGGTACCATAGTATCCCCAAATAAAACACTACTCAAATGAAAAAATGATGATTCTGTGACTCCATAAGACAAAGCTTCGTCTGTACGATGACTTTTTTGGCTTAGGCTTAGTGTCGCCTTGAGCCCAGAAGACCAGCTACGCAGTGGTCTTGCAGAAAAAAAATGCAGGTGCGGCGCAGCACATTTGCTCCCTTGCCAGTTTGAGTCCATCTATGCTGCGGCCTCACTGCGACACTGCCTGCTCAGGAAGAACACTTTACTTTGCATTCGAGTCTTCTCAAAGGCTTTGCCATGATACAAGAAGGTAGTTTCCCAAAATAGGGGAATCCCAATATAGATCCCCAAATACTACAATCCTTATTATTAGGACCCCCACAAAGGGTACCCCTAATTCTGGGAAACCCCCAGAACACGATCTCTTCGTGCTACAGGTCTCTCACCTGCCAGACTTGGTTCACCCGCCTTCGCCGACTGGCCCTGCATTCTTACAGTACTGATCTTGAATGATGTATCTTCGGGCATGGAGGACTGGAAACCGCACTTGCCTTAGACGTAGTAGTCAGCTTCCCGCAAGTGCGTCACTCGGGCTTTTTCTCTTCACAACGCAAATGGAAAGTCTGCATCAGTTCATTAGGATCGCAGGAGTTTGGCAGTTGCTCGTCTGAGCGCCAACTCCTTTCCTCACAGTGTAGCCCACTGTTCCGAGGACTCGGTCTGGGTGAAATCTTTTAATGGCATTTAGAGAAGCTGACAGCCCAAGAGATCGGCCATTGCCGTGGAGTCTACCTGCTTACAAGCCCGAGAGGGGCAAATGCAACAGTCTTTAACTTCTCTCAACTTCTCTCGAGCTTCAGCGCTGAAATAGTACGTCGCTTTATCATGATTTATGGTGAAACCTTTTCGGTGCTCAGGTATGCTGTGCTTTGGCCAATGTTCAAGGAGCATGTTTTCTTTGAAGCCCCTTTTTTTGAAAGAAGACAAAGCACAAACTTTCTTGAGCATGCACAGAACCAGAGCACATGAGGCTTGCCCATGACGAATACAAAGAATTCCGACCATCTAATGTGCGCTGAACCCTACACCCTACACCCTAAACCCTAGTTGCCAAACAACCTGGTAGAAGTCTGCATGGACAGGGCGCTCAACAAAACGTTGAACATACCGGAAACTGGAAAATGGCTCGCAGCACTGAGGGTAAGATCATAAAAAAGGGTTCGTCTGTGAGTCGTTTGGTCATAACAAACATCGATGATGAGGCTATGTGCTGTTTTTGCTGACTCACAGCATACATCCATCCAAGCGAGGGCAGTCATGTCGCAACTACTGAAACTGGTCAGAATACTTCTTGACATCTCGTTCATCCCACATGTCATGATTTATTGCTATATGAAGCACGTCCATCTCGTCACTGACAGTGGCCATCGTCACTTTTCTGGTGTCCACACCGAAAGAGTTCAAAATTGTAGCGTGTCTATCTTTCAGCATGTTTGCATACACATGGAACCAGCTGTTTGTGATGCCATCTTTGTCCACGGCGGAGGGAACCGTGCGCATGTAGGAGCTAAAGAGATCCTTTACCGCTTCGAGTGTCATTGGTTCTGTACCGGTGACCCATCGAACTTCTCCATGCTGCAGGACATGAGATAGGAAAGACCAGCAGTTGCCCTCTCGCCAGAATTTCGTATATGCCTCATGATCATCTGCAGTCATGTCTTTGATAAGCGCTTTGAGCGTCTTGACCTTTTCGACATGAATCTCGTTGAGACCTGCCCACTTCAGACTGAAACCTGGTGGCTTCGGCCTGAGTTCCATTAGTTCGAACATTGTGCCCAGCAGAGTAACCGCAAGATCCTTACCTTGCACGGTGTCATTGCAAGCTATGGTTGCGTTGACATCCATGAAGACTACCAGCGTGTCGGATGGCTCTGCAAATTTGGCTATGAGGCTTGCGAAATACTCCTTGTCTTCCATCGCATCTAAGATGTTGGCTTTGACAAGTACTGCTCGCCATAATTTGCTATGCTGCACGATGGTATGTCGTGCGAAGCGCTCTTGAACAAAGTCATTTTGGCCCTCTGCAAACTCTACGAAATGGCCTGTTGCCAAGTCTCTCAGGTTGCATATGCCAGGACTAGTTTCCTTGCCACCAAACTCCAGGTTGTCGTCAAAAAAGAACACCCGAAATGGCCTGATGTCATCCAGCTCTTTGAGCTCTGACCAGCTGCCTTCCTTTGCAACAGGGATGATCTTTGCAAAGCCGTTCACTTTCTTGTTTTTGCGCCAAGCTGCGAAACAAGAAGTGGTCACCTGCAGTTTTCGATGTTCACTGCAAGTCTGAAAATAGCTTCTAAGGTTCTGCCCTATTGCCAACTCGCCGTGGAGGTCCAAGTTGTACACGAAACGGCCAGAAGTAACTTCGATTCTCTGCAACGGCTGAGCCAGGCCACGTAAGTGTCTTGGAGTGGAGGACGTTGCACCGCAAGATCCGTCTGATCTCTGTCCCGCTGGCGCCTTTATCCGGTCAATCGGGAAGGGTGTAGTTTCTGTAATGTCGTCATCGTCTCTTGCTAACACCGCTGAATTAGTTGATGACGTCTTCCCTCTCTCGACCGTGATCTCACCCTCCGAGGCTGCAGATCTGCACTGAAAAGCCTGAGTGTCCGCGATGTTTCCTGTATCCTTTCTTTGGCAAATCTTAGGCAGTCTTTCCATGCAGCGGCTAGTCACCTGCCCCATCAGAGGGAGGTGCAGCGCTTCCCCTACTCACCTGGATAAATTTGATATCTCTGCTCTGCCTAACACTTTGAGCCAGGACTCAGGCATGGAGTCATGAAGTCATTCAGCAGCGGCAACCCACATGTATGGTCTTCACAATGTGGCTTAATGCGAGCACATAGACTCGGGCATTACGCAGAGAGCTGCTGACATTTGTGTTCCAGCAAGCTGACGAATCGCTGGCCTTTTAGCGGGTGAGCTCGCCCACTTAAGCGGCATACGGGAAGCCTTTGATGTCCCGTGGTTCGACCTGGGCTCCAGGATTATACTGCTTTGCGGGGTTGCGGTTGCTGTAAGCAACGTAAGATTAGTAGCTATAATGAGGAAGCCATCTTATTGACTCTACACCGATTTTACGCTAACTTAATTTAAGACCGTTAAGAGCAACCCAGTTTATCCATCCCTACTTCTGGTAGAAGAGTTATAAAAGGTAATGTCATGTTCCGTTTCTCACGACGAATTTCTGAGGACATCTCTGGACCTTCCTGCAAACTCAAACCCGGATCAGCCCCTCGAACAACTTTTTGCATCCAGGACTGTTGACTATGCCAGGCTTGCAGGCAGATGTAGATCCGCGATTAATACACACCCTCCTTTTAAGGGCCTTAATATTAGGATCCCTAGTATAATCCCTGTTAAGGGGAGGGGGTTTATCAATCATGTGTCTGGGTTTTCACAATTAGCCCCCTCAAAAAAAACTCATTCAAAGAATTGTCGACTTCATTTTTGGGTCCCCCCCTTAGTAGCCCCTGTGGTGCTCCCCTATATAATTTCCTTATTTAGCCCCCCCCCCTCCTAAAAAAAAAGGAGTTTACACTATAGCTCATATGAGCCCTGGACTAGAGTTATAGCATATTCCTTAACTGCGCCCCCTATACATCCCCTTATAGGTACCCCCCCAACGTAAGATTTGTCCGTTGCTCATATGACGGCAGGTCTGGAACGAGTCTCTTTTGCGCACAGCCTCAGCCTTCGACGTGCATTTAGGGGTTTCCCAAAATTAGGGGTAATTTTTTGGGGGTCCCTATAATATGGACTATAGTATTTTTGGGTCTATATTGGGGTCCCTCCATTTTGGGAAACTACCATTTTGGGATCCGCAGGTGATGTGAAACAAGACAGCTCGAGCAGGCGCTTCCGCAAAGGTGGGGGTTTCCCAAAAATTAGGGGTACCATTTTAGGGGTCCCAATAATAAGGACTGTAATATTTTGGGGTCTATATTGGGGCATTGCGCAAGTCCGTGCTTGCAGACAGTTTTTGAATGCGGCCGTCTGTGTAAGTTTGTAAATGCTATACAAAATCACTAGAGAGCTCCTGGCTTAGAACTCCCACTGCTCATGATGCCTCAAACGAAGTCTGGGTGCTAGCCCTTTCTTGTAGTACTGTTCCTTGTACTCAGAGTTGCCCTTGAAAGCATGCTTGCCACGGGCTGCTCCCATAGGTTTGACACCTGGCTCCTTGCAGAATGGGTGCTCCAAGTAAGACTCCTGATATATGCTTTCTGCTTCGAACGGGCATTTTCTGACGGCATTCGTCAATGTTGAGTCATTGCCAATGCCTGTGTGTCTATCTGGAATCTTGGTCGGCCGATCAGAGGCCTTGTTGAAGTCTTTGTCATAACTGCTGGTCGCACTGAACCGACGCCCCTTAGACATTGATGTCAGGGTTGATGAACGAATGTCGACATTCGGGCCGGTCTTGTCGTCCAGATTGTGGCGAACGTAATGATCCGTGTAGGTGGTTGCAAACTTGTTGTTGCCAGCATGGTGCAGGAAATGGTGGGCATAGTTTGGCCCTCCACTTCCATGATTGAGCCTTGCTGACAAAGGCTTTTCGGTATAGTCTTCCTTGTATATCGTTGCACCCTCGAACTTGCCATTCATCTGGTCCTCTGTCAAAACAGATCCGTCATCCTTCTTAGCTTTGGGCGGTGGCATGAAAGACGAATGATGCACGAAGTCTGCGTGAAGAGTGGATTGCATCAGCGGTGATCCCAGGTTAGGGAAAGGAGAGCGCTTGTTGGTCCACACCTCGACCAAGTCACCATCTCTGACTCTGTCATAATCCTTTGAAAACTTGATCTCATGCTCACCATGGTGCCAAAGCTTCATCTTGTCAACCTTGAAGGTCAGCTGGGCCACTTGCTGCAGCTCAGATAGAGCTTTCGGAAAGGGCACAACTTTTTCATCGTGCACCTTTACTGAGCTCTTCTTTGACGTCATGGCCTGATTTCAGGATGACCCCCCTGCAATTTGATCCTTAATTAGCTGGCAGATGCGCACAATGGTAGCACGGAACTGTGGACAAATGCACCATGGAAAGCAGCATGTACCAGGACTAACTGACAGATGCTTGGAGTCAAAACCCTAAACCCTAGACCCTAAACCCTCAACCCAAGCACGCAAACCCTTTTCACATAGCAAGGTTGAGGCTGAGTCCCATGCGGAGAGTCCACAAGTCCCTGAGGCAATATGACGGTTTTCCAAAAACAAGGTACCATTTCGGGGATCCCAATAATAAGGATTATGGGATATATAGGGGTTATATAGGGTTTAGGGTTTCCCAAAATTGGGAAACCCTAATAAGCATTGTAGTTTTTTGGGGATCTATATTGGGGTCCCCCTATTTAGGGAAACTACCATCTGAGGGCAAGCACTCTATCAACATCGTCCATGTTGCTATGCTTGCAAACCAGCATGGATGGTGACTTGACACACACGGTAGTTTCCCAAAATAAGGGAACCCCAATATATACCCCAAACTACTATAGTCCTTATTATGGGGACCCCCAATATGGTACCCCGAATTTTGGGAAATCCCCACACATCTGCATCCCAAGCAGGCGCTTGTAAAAACAGCGTTTCGGCCTGAGCCGGACACGTCGTCAGGGCCATCAGGTGCAGGATGTTCATCTATGGTCTCCCAGATGGACACCCCAAACCAATGTTCGCAAGGAACCTTGGAAGAAGACAGTCCTGTCTACCTTATGAATATAGCCCCAATATAACCCCTATATAACCCCAATATATATATATATTGATATATATATATATTGTGGTGGCGGCTGGCTTTGTCAGGCTCTTGGGCACAGCGCGAGGAAGGCGGAGCGACGCGTGTCCGCATGTCAGTCATCCTAGACCCATATTGGGCTTACAAATGATTATATAGGGGTTATATAAGGTTATATTGGGGTTATAGTGGGATAATGGAAAAGAAAATGGAAACTACTATCCAGGGCCTCCTGCTTCAAGGCCTGGCGGCTATCCGCTGTGGTGATTTTCTCAGCAGTGATGACGCACCATCCAGCACCAGCTTCTGATGTCTGGAAATTCCCGAAGTAACGCGCATACACCTCTGGGAGTGTATTGGCGGTTGATATGTCTTGGCTCCGTAGGCCAGTCAAGCATAATTTACCGCCAGGTGCTGCAGCGCAGGCAAGCACATCCACCAGCTGGAGGAGTGGCTCCTCTTAAGTAAATGGAATATGGGGTATACTGTATAGGGATAATGGAAAAGAAATTGGAAACTATTATAAACTATCATATTCTAATAGGGTACCCCTTAAGTAGATAGAATATGGGGTATGTTAGTGCAGGAGTGGCTCAAACAAGATGTTCGCCACGACGATGTCAAACGGCCCGCCGTCCTGCCAGTGGCACATATACTGTAGTTTCATTTTCTTTTATGTTATCCCTATGTATACTATGTTACCCTATATGACGCCAACATAGTACTTTTCATTTTCTTTTCCTTTATCCCCATATATATATATACTATACTCCCCTGTATTACCCCAATATTGCCCTAATATAGCCCTAATATCACCCTAGTACAACCCTATATTACCCCAATATCACCCTGCATACCTACCCCGGAATCAATCAGCTGCACTAAGTTCCTCCGAGGACGTCTTGCTCGTCACACGTGGGCGTTTGTCAAGCTGTCCGCTATACGAACTATGGTCTAGACCCCCTAAAAGGGGGCTATATAGGGGCTATAATAGGGGACGATTATAGGGGCTACAACAGGGAAGGAGCGTAGACTATAGCTCATACAATCTCTAGTCCTCTTGAACCCCACCGGCACCCTTGGTTTATCAGGGTAGCCTTCCTTTCGGAACCCCGCGCATGTCTTGAACTCAGGCAACTTTTGGGCCTTTGGGGTTACTATGATTACTTTACTTTTTTCCATGGTTACCATAAGTACCTATTATTTATGAAGCAGGGCTGAGTCAAACAGGATTGTGAGACATTAAAGCCCTTACTCTGGACTAACCCTAGCGGTGCCCTTGCATCGGCTCGTTTCTGGATTATCTGTTTGGGGTTTCAACTGCGGCTAGGACTGAGATGTGAGCTATGGTCTACACTCCTTGAAGGGGCTTGAAAAGGGGGAATATATAGGGGAGAACTATACTTATTATAGGGGCCAGTAAGGGGGTACTAGGAGTTCAGACTATAGCTCATGTGAACCGCATCTCCACACCCTCTCTCCGCAAGGCCGTTAGATGCTACAGTTTGACAGACACAATAAAAGTGGAAACTACTATTTCAGGTTATACAGGTGTATATTGGGGCTATGTATTGGGATAATGGAAAATAAAATGGAAACTACTACAGTGTATTAGGGTTATATTGGGATAATGGAAAACAAAATGGAAACTACAGGTTGGCAGCCCACAGGCCTGCACCAAGTCTGCAATTTGTCTAGCAGCCTGCTGTGGATTGGCAGACACGTGCATGAAGTCCACGGTGCCAGAAGCCCCAGAAGAGGCACCGCATGCTGCATTCAGAGACAAGCTCCGTCTTGCAGATGCGAGTGATTGCTCGTCGATATCCACTCCAGTCACGTGCTCTGCCCCGAGCATCGACGCCTGGGCATCTCATGTTCTGACCTGACATGGTAGTTTCCCAAAATGGGGGACCCCAATATAGACCCCAAATTACTATAGTCCTTATTGTAGGGACCCCCAAAATGGTACCCCTAATTTTGGGAAACCCCCACATCTTCTAAAACCCTCTCAGAACCACCAAGCCAAGGCAAGCCGCAAGTATTGCTAGAACTCCGGATCCGGTTCCGTAGTCCAAAACACGGACACTCCGGAGACCTTGGCTGAGCTTGGTCCAACTTTTCGACTCAGAACCTCAGAGCCTGAAGCCTTTTCCCCCCTTGACAGGCAAGCTTCTGGATTCGGACAGCACCCCTTCTAAGAAAGCTGCAGCAGCTCGCGTAGTGGGATGATCACCTCCAATCAATCAAGTCTGATTTGGCTGACATGACTGGAACAAGTACCCTGTTTCCCTGCGGCGTTTGGCATGCGCAGGCTTCACGGTTGAGTCTTCTACCGAGTAGGTCAAGCTTGGCTGGTGTAGGGGGCTTTCGACGGTTTGCTGAACGGAGTGGGAAGGACATGAGGCTTGCGCGAGGAAGCGTTAGCTGTGCAAGCTGGATGTTGGCTTGTTGAGGCGCAGGAGCTGCATGCTTGACTTGGACCGCTTATGACGTTTATTGCTACCATTATTTACCATTATTACTGTTTTATTGGTATTAATATCTCCATTATTATCACTTTTACTGTCACTACCAACGAGTGAGGTGGAACTTGGAGCTTGGTTTCCTTCCGCTAAGACACGCATTTTGCCATGAAAGGCAGTTTCCATTTCATTGTCCATTCTCTTTTGCATTTTTTGGGGGCGACATCCCTAATCCATATATAGCTCCCACATAATCCGACTCCAATGTACAAAAGCCATGTCCCAGGAGGACTTTGGTGTGCAGATCAACCAGCCAGGGACTCCGTTTTCAGTTTTTCTAGGCTGAGAGTCATAATGATAAGACTATAATAAGTAAAGGTAACAACAGTAATGAGGACTGGCGGCCTGCTCCAAATGCCACGCTTCCTTCCAATCGCAGCACGCGCCTCCCAGTTTCGCTCATCATGCCACCGCTGGGCCCAGCGTGGCAAGGCAGTCGAACCTCTACGCGCTTGGACAAGGGAAAATACTCACTCCAGGCACCCGCCAAAGCAAGGGTAGTCAAGAGCGGTGGGCTTGATAAATCCAATGCATTCTGGATAATGGATGTCATCTTTGTGAGGTCCAACTTGCCTGGGCCCTTAAAATGAGCTGTCACAGTCACACTGGTGTCGGTACTTGCCACCGCAGATGCAGAAAAAGCACCGAACCCCAGAAGCATATCGATTACAGCATCTGCCTGGTTGGTTTCCATGGTAACCTCTGTGATGTCGTCTCGGGTCTTGCGTGGCGTTCGGTGGCATGCTCTAGAACTTCTCCCAAACAAGCATCTCCTCATGCCAGCCATCGTGACTGCAATAGCTGGCAAGGACCCCGCAGCCGGCCCATGCAAGCAGCATGGTCGAAAAACATGACACTTTGATGGAATCCGCGGGCTGGACTTCCAGATGGTTGGTATCTCCATGGCAGCTTCCGCTTTGCGATGGCGACCCCGCAGATCCTGAAACTCTAGCTACATGATAGGTCTGGTCAGTTGGACATATAAAGCTTTCTGCAAAGTGCGGCTTGTTTGCTGGTAGGAGAAATTTATTCATCTGCTCACATCCCTAAACCCTAAACTCTACTAGGACGGGGCTTTTCTTTGAACTCGTTGACACATGTCCATGCCTTGTTGAACATCATACTTCACCAGATCCGATCTAAAATGAATTCTAAGTTCTCTGCGAGTGGCCCCATGTAACCCCTGTAGAACCCCTGTAATCCTTATGTAACCCCTGCATAACCCTTATAACTTCTTTATAGCCCTTATGAAACCCTACTTAATCCTAGATACCTGGTTCCAACCAACCTGTCAAGCTTTCGGATGGGGATTTTTTTTTTGCGCACCTATTTTGCGTCTGCACGACACAACGAGCCGAAGCCCAGGTGATGGTTCGTTCACTGTCCACACTCACTCAGCCCCTGCCACATTTTGTGAGGCCATTAGGCGATGGGCTATAAAGCTCTCGAGCAC